GGAGTTCTCTCTCCATCTAGGGTGTGCACATCATCAAAACAAAAAAAAATTAATTTAATTTTTAAAGTAAATGTTTATTTAATTAATATTTATTGTTATTTATAATTATTAGAGATTAAAATTAAATTAAAAACGAATTTTATGTAAATAAATGGAGAAAATAGTAAATAGAAGCTTATGAAATATTTTCTTGGTACTAATAATATAGAGAACCGAAACAAAAGTAGATGTAAGGAGACACAAATGTGTATCAGAAGATGACGTAAGAAATGTTAGTTAAAAAAAATATTTGAAGAGAATTTCACTAAATTTTGGAAATATATATGCACAAGACTATCATAAATATTTTAGATCGCATTCATTTTTGAAATAAATTAGTTTTCATATGAATTAGTGGACTGAATTATCAGACTTATAGTTGAGCTAATCCGTTTCACCATTTAAGCGCGATATATGAAATGGGATAAAAACATTCATAATTAGATTGAAAATTATCTTATGCCACGTTGCAGTTATTTTGACGGATAAATTGTTATCAGCAAACCTATTGTAACATTATGCTTATTTCATTTAGACATTTTAAATAAATGATAGTTCATATTTGGCACATCCGCATACGCTTTTAATAATTTTTACTATTGAATCTATGGTTAACATTAAAGTTTCTTGGAAGATAATCTTATGAGACTTTAACATAAAAAAAAATTATCTGAGACAAAAGATCGTAAGATGCTTTTCAAATAAAAGATTGTCCTCGATAATATATCGTTCCATATATATATAATTTTTTTTTTTTAAATAAAAGTGATTATATTTATATTCAATGATTGATATAGTTAGCAATTCATAAATCTAGTATAGATAATTTTTGTTATTATTTAGTCTATTCCATACATAATCTACTAGGCATTTTACTATTAATCATTCAAAACCATAGATGTAAAGACAAAAAAAGCCAATATCGTTAAGGATAAATGTTACCACATTTTTGGTATATCTTGTCCATTATGCCGACCAATCCATTGAAGCACTTTACCACACGGATATGGAATTTACAAATATTTTTGTTATATTTTTTTACATTATACTAGATTTTTATTCACGCCAAGCGTCAGACTAAATAATTAAATATATTTTAATCGAATTTGATATTTAGACATGTATTCTAACATTTATAAACACACAAAAATAATATATATTGTACATACATATAATAAAGCTAAATTTTGATCAAATATAAATATATTTTATCTTTGTTATTTTTCATCTCCCATCTATTAAAAATAATTATAAATTTTTGTTTTTAAATATTATAATGTCGCTTTTGACTCGGATAAAAAAATCTAGTATTATTGAAAAGAAAATAAGATATTTTCAAATATTTTCTATATTCCTTAAACAAAAGAGAAATTTCAAAAAATGTCACTTTTAAAGTGTCAATTTACAAAAATGCCACACTTTTGAAATCTTTACAAAAATGCCCTTTTTCAAAATTATTTTTTCTTTATATTATTTATGTTTAGGTTAATTATGTTCTATTAGGGTTTAGTTACGAGAGTTTATGAAGGTTTAGGGGTCAAAATATTTTTTAGTGTTTAGGAGGGTTTAGGGGTCAAAACATTTTTAAGATATAAAGTTTAAAAATTTAAAGTTAGTAGCATTTTTACAAATGAACACCCTTAAATGGTATTTTTGCAAATAACATAAAAAGTAGCATTTTTGCAATTTTTCTTAAATAAAATTCTCTATATTAATTATCACATATTCGTTATTTTCATATATTTGTTATTAATAATTTTTATTAGAAAATGAATTCTTTAAAATTCTTTTACGATGACACCTGGAATTTTTATCCAGTGTCTGCTTTATTAATATACAGATGATTAATATTTTTATATTTACATAAAATTGGTTGATTGGTTACCTGAATTTTGGTTAGCAAATTGCCCATAGAATATTCGGATAAGTTTCGGTTTAGCAAAAAAGCCGTCTTCTTCCTCCTCCTTGTATAAAACATCCAAAAAA